TAACAATTAGTGTGTAACCCGTCGAAATTATGACGATATTTTTCTGAAAGGATTTAGGCAAGCATCCTTAATTATGACATCATTATTGTGCTTTGTTTTGGTTTTCTTTCTTTCATTTACTTTATATTATTTGTTTACAAGAAGAGTAATCCTAGAAAAATTGTTAAATAAAGATTATTATTCATCATTTATAGATGTAAAGCTATAAGTAATAGTTGTAATTGGATTAAAAAGGTTGTGATATTTATTGTATTGAAATTATTTGTTGCTGGCTGATTATTGTAATTGGTATTATTTTGAATATTGTTATCTTGATTTTGGTTTTGTCTTGGCTAACTTCTCCAATTATTGTTGTTTTGACCTGCATTTTATCAAAAATTTTCAGGATTAAAGTGATGATTGCACATTCTAGAGATATATTCAATTTTTCTGCAATTATAACAAGTAAATAACTAATATTGTTAATTACAATTTTCAAAGTTTCAAGACTGTTGTGATAATTTATTTTTTATTTTATCTAATCAAATGGCTATTTTTTGAATAGCTAAAGCCAGGATAATCATATTAAAGAAGTTTTGTACTAGATTTTAATGACTTGATTTTGGTATAATTTCTTTTTTAGCTTCTTTAAATAGTTTTGCTACAATAACAAGTTCTTGAAAGGTATTTTCATCTTGAAAAGTGATCCATTTTTGAATAACTGAATTTAGTTTACATTGATATATTCTTTTCTTGTATAACAAAAGATAATTTTTATCAGAATCTACTTTGTGAATTAGTTTATTGAATCAGTTGATATACTATTCAACAAATTCAATTAATTGCAAAGTTTCAAGTTTATCTTGTCATTTGTTCAGTTTTTGTTGAGTTCTAAATTGTTATTCAAAGCAAAACTTGAAGTTTGTATGATCTCAATTGTCATTGGTCCAATTTCGTAAAATATTATTTAGTAAATTTCATTGTTCATCAAACTATAATACGACAGCATCTTTAAGGTATTCACAGACAACTTGAATTTTTTAATTATTAATAATTCCATTGACTAGTACTATCACTTCAAAATCTCAGAGTTATTCTATAGGATCTTGATCTCTATTTTTATATTTTCAAATTTGAATAATCATCTTTTCATTATTTCTATTATTTAATATAGTAACTAATTTACTGATTGTATTAATAATTGCTTGATTGATCATTGTAATTATTTCAAAATGAAGTATTGAGAAATTGAAATATGTATTGAATTCAGATATAAAATTGTAACTACTAGTAAAGAAGTGATTTTCTTCAGTTACTTCTATATTATTAGTTGTTTCAGAATAGAAGCTGTCAGATAAATTAGGATCTTCTTTGAATTCTTGATTGAAAAAGCTTTTGAGTGTTGTTTTAACTAAGAGAAATTGATGTTTAACAGTATATTAATTTTGGTAAATTAGAGTATTTAATAATCAAATTATTTATTTTTATAGTTTTTTTCTTTTAAGGATATTAAAATCTGCTTCAATAATATCTTTGAATAATTATTTAATGATAAAAGATCCAGATATTGCATCTCATTCTTGGATCCAGATAAGAAAATTAGCTAAAAATTCAGTTATTATATCAGAAGATGAAAAACAGATATAATAATAATATTGTTGAGTTATTCAAAATGTTGTTTCTTGATGTTGAATTTCCAGATGAGTGTTGAGATGTGAACTAATAGATTTTCCAATAAAGATATAATAATTGTTCATAAAGAGAATTTTTAATTAAGAGTTAGAATATAAATATTTATAAAGAGAGTTATAAAAAGAGAAATTTATTTTTAGTAATTGGTTTTAATAAAGTAAGAGAATTAATTAAATAATAATAAAAAAAATTAATAATTTGAGAAATCCACAGAGAGAGCACCAAAATATGCTACAGTTACTTTAAATAAAAAGTTTCTTTACTATTAATAAGAGAGTCATATAAGTTGAAAGAGAAGAATAAACTAATAAAATTGATTAGTGCAAAAATAAATATCTAAGCCTATGTTAATTTTGACAGAAATTATTAAATAATTTTATCAAGAATAAAAAGAGAAGTTGGAAGAGTGTGTTCAAAGAGGTAATTAACTAATAGAGATTACTAATTAAATAAAAATGTATTAATATTTTTATACTTATAGTTGTATATTTTAGTGCTTTTAATATCAAAGAAAATAAATAACTAAAGAAAATATCACTTATTTAGAGTTACAGTGCATAACTATACCAAAAATAATGCTATAGCAAATTAATATACTTATCCAAAAATATTTATCTAAATTTAAAGACAAAAGTAGTAATCAAAGATTCAATTTTATACAAATTAATATTCAGTTTCTTGATCTTGCTCAAGATTTATAAAAAGTGACTTGAATTACAAGATTTGAAGTTCAATTAACAAATTATTTTTGCCAGACAACTTGTTTCAATAGAAGAAGATACAAGAATAAATATTAATTTTATAATAATAAGGCAGTTATTAACTTATTGTATCAAAGATTAAAATTTATTAATTTGTTTTAAGCATTGAAATATAAGAGAGAATATGTAGAGATAGCACTCTTATTTATATAAAATTTCTCAATATATTTTAATTCTATTTATAAAATTATAAAAAGAAATATATAAAAGATAGAAAAGATAAATAAAAAGATAGAAAAAGTAGAAAATAAAGGTAGAAAAGATAAAAAAGATAAATAACAAAGGTAAAATAGGTAGAAAAAGTAAAAAATAAAGATATAAAAGATAGAAAAGATAAATAATAAAGGTAAAAAAAGTAGAAAAGATAAATAATGAAAATATAAAAGACAAAAAAAAGATAAATAATAAAGATAAAAAGAGTAAAAAAATAAAAAATAAAGATAGAAAAGATAGATAAGGTAGATAAGATAGATAATAAAGATAAAAAAGATAGATAAGGTAAAAAAGGTAGAAAATAATAATTATATAATTAATATATATATAAACTATTTTTATTAATTTGTTATTTTGTTACTATTTTTGAAGATTTTCATATTTTTTACTATTTTTGAAAGATTCATTAATTACAGAATTTTTGAAAATAAATGTAACAATATGTAATAGCCAGAATAATTCGTTCTGATCAATAAGTGTTTCATTATTACATAATTACTATATCTGTGAACTTAAGTTCACACCTAATATCAAATAAATCAAAAATAATATTATAAGTAAATACAAATTAGTAATAATAATAAAATTTGGATTATGGGTAGAATTTTTGGTTTTACACATATTGATATTTCTGTATTTATTTGTATAGTACATAATAAACATAGTGATAATTTATTTGTAAATGAATCACAAATACAACTACCACACATTACAGACTTGTATGATAAAAAATTTAGAATACATATATTATTTTTTCTGTTAATATATAACAATGAAAAATCAGAATAACATGCCTGCATATAAAGAAAAACAAAATTACTTAGAAAGGTGGCATATCTTTAGAAATTGGAAGCATGGGATGTAAGGTTTGTGACGAATATAATCATTATTCACATATTTATTATAAAATGTGCAAAAAAATAGCAAACAGAATATACAGGCAATGTGAATGTGAAAATTTTCTAAGAGAACCTCAAATAATTAATAAATAAATCAGAATTAATGATTTGGTAAAATCTTACACGCCTCTTCAGGTATAACAATAAGTTTTTATTTTCCATATAATGAGAATTTGTCCAAGATATTTGTTAGAATAAATTCTGCTCTACAACAAACTTATTATCGAATAACAATTCATTCCATAATCGAAAGTTCCACATGTTGGGTCATGGCCTCGACTTTGCGATTTATTAAACTTTCAACTAAAATATGGTTTATATGTCGAGGGTATTGCATTGTTATAAAGGAACAATAATATCACACGTATGATCAAAAATTCGGAGATTCAGAAATTATGCATGCGTGACCTGTTGTTCGACAATCCGATTGTTTGTATAAACTATAAAAAGGTAGAATGTATCCGTGAATATGTCTACTACTACCGGAAAAACAATTTCACTTCCTACAATCAATGAAGTTGAAGGATATAAGACAACGGAGGATCTGATAAATTTTTTACGCGACCAAGATATAGGACTTGAGGATAAGCATTTCAATATTCTTCGTGAACAAGAAGTTGATGGCGAAACTTTCCTTAGACTGAACGTGGATAAACTAATGCAAGATGGTTTAAAACGAGGACCCGCTGAAAAAATCTCGAAATTGATTGAAAAAATTAAGGGCGAAGGACAGGGTAAGTAGTACCACGACTGCATTCGAATATTCCAAACCTATACTGCTTTCTCCGCGTATCATAAACTTATTGTCATCGTAGAACGCGTTGCAACTAGAAAGCTTGGTATACTATTTAATGTTTTACTAACTTGTTCTTTTTTCTCTTTTTAACACTCATTTCTTCCTTCCATTATTCGTGATATTCCATTTTCTCTGTTTCTTGTTTGAATTGAGTACCACGACTGCATTCGAATACTCCAAACCTATACTGCTTACTCCGCAATAATTACATTTATTAACTTGTGCCATAGCAGACGAGGGACCGCCGAGAAAACGCCCAAGGTTAATTGAAGGTATGTTATATTCAGTTTTGTTTTTATCCAGAACTAAATTTGAAATATCTGTATTCTATCCAAACACATGACATTAATCTAATAAATTGTCTCGCTTTCTATTCCAGCTTTCGATGGGAAGCAGGTTTTTGATGATTCAAAGTCTATTGCATGGGATGACCAGGAAAAAAGTAAGGCTTCCTGAAATTCTGATTATTTAATGTTCATTATCATTTATTAAAAAATATATTATATTTATTCATAAATCAAAGATACCAGAACGGCATTGCTCCAAGGTAAGTAAATTTTGATGACAAATTTCTAAAACATTCAGAAAAATTGATTATTACTGGTTTTTCTCGTTGCAAAAGATCACCCAAACGTAATTGTAAAAGGCGGATATTCTCCGGGCGAATCTGATTTTTTTAAATTCATTACATCAGGCGTTTTTGTGGACAAATCACTTTTCATTATAGAATTTATGATATACAGTGAGCGGGCTATACTTATTACTCGCCCCCGTAGGTTTGGCAAATCTACAAACCTTTCAATGCTTTATACTTTTCTCAAACCGGTTTCTGAACAAGAAAAAGAGCAGAAGCTTGCGTTGTTTAAAGACCTCAAAGTTTCTCAATTCGATTGGTTTATGAAGTTGCACTTCGGCAATTGGCCAGTTATTTACGTTAGTTTCAAGGTAAGAGCAATAACACGACTTTTCCTTTTATTGGATGGCTAATCATGCTTACTTTATTAGGATCTGGATTATGAGTCTTGGGAATCAATGCTGTGTTCCATTAGGAAAAGAATATCAGAGCTATACGACGAACATCGTTATATTATTGATAATAAGAAGCTTTATCCAGACAATGAATCTTTATTTATAAACACTCTTGACGGAACAACAAACAAACAATATTTAATGGCTGCTCTCTCCGATCTAGCACGCTATCTTCACAAATACTTTGGCAAACAAACCATTCTTCTCATTGATGAATACGACTGGCCGATGGAACATGCAAGAAGTTTTTATAACGAAGCTGATATTTTTTTTAAATCCATGTACTCTAGCGTTGCGAAGGTAAACTGTTCTTCATTGTTACTTAGTACATATAATGTCGACTAATCTATGAATTTTCGATGTAGGACAACGGACACGTATGCAAGGTTCTGTTTGTTGGACTGCTTCCTCTAGGCCAAGCAAGTTTCCTTTCTGGACTTAATAATGTTGTGCATTGCCCAATGCATAAACTACCTGGTATATACGGCCGTGCCAAATATTCGGACATGTTTGGTTTCACAGAGAAAGAAGTAGAGTTCTTGCTAAGTAAAAATACTCAGAAATTTGAACTCGGTAATTTGCGCTACCACTATAACGGATATCAAACGAGTACCGGTGTGCGTATCTATAACCCTCATTCAATTATATCGTATCTAAATGAGGGCATCATTGGGGATTACTGGGCAAATAGTGGTTCGACAGTCAAGGTTAAGAAATGTCTAAAAAAATGTAGCCAAAATATTGAAGAAGAGCTCCAGAGTTTTTATTACTCATTTTATTCATTACAAGAGGATGATTCATATGTTAAAGCGGAACTCATACCACATCTCCGATACGACGTTCTCGAGAATGAGCCAGAAATAAATATGATCTATACATTATTATGTTATAGTGGCTACTTGACCATAAGTTTTGATGATGAATTCATTAATAAAGTTGATAAACAATGGGAGCTTACCGAAGCTAAACTTGTTATACCAAACAGAGAAGTTGCTAAACAATGGAAACGGTGGATTATCGATTTCATAGGCATAAGTCAGCTGAAGACGAATGACATATTCAACTCGTTATTCAAGAAAGATATCAAGACGTTTTGCGAAAAATTTCCCGCTCTTTATATGGAAATAATCTCTTGCTATGATATTGGTGATTCTAAAAGAGCCAAGTCATATGAGGGTTGGTACCATACGTTTATCCTTGGGGCACTTGCAATGTTTCACGGTGATGATTACCAGGTCATTTCCAATCGTGAAATTGGGAAAGGTCGTCCTGATGTCCGCATCATCCCAAATAACAAAAAATTTAATACTTGTATCATTTTTGAGTTTAAGCTTGCTGAATCGGAAGACTGTGGAGAAATGAGAAAGCTCGCTAATAAGGGGCTAAAACAAATTGCTGACAAGAATTATCGGTTAAATACTGCAAGTCATATCGAAGTGATAATTGAGGTTGCCATTGCCTTCTGTAAAAAAAGCACTTTCGTCTCTGCTCAACATTTACAACGTAAAAAAGGTGGTAAACTTTCAACAGATGCTTGGGAAATTGTTTCATCAGCTGAATCGAGTTAAAAGGAAGAACTTTATTAACCATTACATATTGTATTTTTTAACATTTATAAATAATCAAGTTATGCTTGTATAATTACGATCAGCTTAATAGAAATAGCCTGTAAGCTTTGTATTGTAACGCCATAAAGGCTCAAGAATTATTTTTTATAAAATATTTAGAAAAATTTGTTTTGTATGATCTTTCCGATTTTGTGTATGAGAATTTTGTTAACTTGGTTGTAAACATTATTTGAGCCATGTTATTGTTTATAAAGGGAGTTCTGTTGTGCTAGAAATATTAGTATTTTACTTTATCTTTACCGTAATCAATAAAGCTGACCCCAGTGGCTGATTTCGCATACATAATCAGTTTACCTTTGCATGTGTATTTCGGGAATTTATTTATTGTATTGTTATCGATGTATATTATCGAGAATTTTTCTTGGCAAAATGATCTCCGTTCCAAATTGGAACGGACACGTAATAATAATTTTTATTTTGAATCTTATATAAAACAATGGTAAACACAAAATCCAAAATCGATTTATTGGAAGAATTAAATTTCAAGCTTCTAGCTGAAAATACTGAACTTAGAAACGAAAATGCTAAAATCAAGGCTGAGAATGTAAAATTAAAACAAGCTTTGGAGGACCACGAAGCTAGATTCATAAATTTAGAGCAGAAAGATAAAGAAAAGACCAACCTTATCACTAAACTAGAACACGACGTCTCACTAATCAAGGAACAGAGCTTGCAAGACAAGAATACAGAATGCCATCAGACAGTTATTAATGCACAAAATGTACTTTCTACAAAAGATTTTTCGCAGGATCTGGTGAGTATACAAGTATCCTCACTTTATGAAAATTCTGATAATACTCTCAAACAAATACCAGAGAACATATTCAATTCTAATGAACATAGGGAGACAAAAACCCGATGATCTGCATCATCTATTCATACAAAACCAAAATCACCAGAAGATAAAACAGTTAATAATTTTTTGAATCAAAAAGAAAAGGAAAGGATCAGTAAGATTATGAGGGAGAGAAATAGAGAAAAGAAATTTCAGCATACCATTTCTTCCGAAACAAATTCTACAACTGAAATTCCTCAAGATACCACATCTACTGTAGCCAGTGACCTAAAAACAATTCAATCAGAGTCTAAAACTTCTGTCGAATCAGAGCAAATAATCATTGATCAAGTACAAGATACTATTTCTGCTGGAATAGCAGAACTAAAGAAAATTCCCTATAACCAGAAAGTAGAGCAAGATTTAAAACGTGAATTATCTGCTTGTATCAAAAATAATAGTAATGAAATTAATATATTTGATATACAGATTCTTGATGTTTCTTTAAAAACAATTTTAGCAGGATCTAAAATTATTGTGCAAAATATAGTTAATTTATTTAATGTTGCTATAAAGACTAGACAAAAGAAGATTTTATGCTGGTATTGTTACTATAAAGCATATGAGGATAGAATTAGAAATATTAGAACTAAGGATGAAATTGATGACAAGTCTGCAAGGATATCAGTATATGATGAAATCAAATTATTTCTATCTGATATTACTGATGTAAACTTGTATAAGATAACTTTCAGAGCTAAAAGAATTTATATATTATTTGAAGGGATAGAACTAGATAAAATTATATAGGTATCTTTCAATGCAAGTGCTATTTTGAGTCTAAAAGATATTCAAATTCAAAATCTTATAAATGATTTTTTCAAGTCTTCAACAGATATAATCAGTGTGACAAATCATCGTGCACACATGACTAAATCATCTAGCTCAAAAGACATCAAATATTAAGACAAGTATATCTACTGAATTATCCCATACATCTAATTCAGAAAATATATCTTTAATTCTTCAGGTCCAGACAATTTGTCGAAGGCTGAGGCAAGTATATCATCTACATTTTAGCTCAAGAAGACTTTATCTGAGAAACAGAATAATTTAACTTATGATTATACTTATTTTCGTAATTAGATATTGTGATAATATTCTGATTTCTCTGTAAAAAAAAAATTTTTGAACATATCAGGCAAAAATCCAGTTTTTTGTATTGATCCATTTTTTATCCGGAATATTTTCTGAATAAAAAATGGATCAATACAAAAAATCTGGTTTTACTTTAGCAAAAATCTGTTTTTATTGTTGAAGTAAAAATAGTTTTTAAAAGATCTGATATACTTTCATTTTTTTTACTGGATGAAAAATGAATTTATACAAAAAATCCAGTTTTATTTTAGTAAAAATCCATTTTTATTGCTGGAGTAAAAATGGTTTTTAAAAGATCTGACATACTTTTATTTTTTTTTACTGGATAAAAAATGGATCTATATAAGAAATCCGGTTTTACTTTAGTAAAAATCTGTTTTTTAGAAGATCTGACATAGTTTCGTTTTTTATCCAGTAAAAAAAAATGGAAGTATGTTGGATCTTTACCATTTTTATTCCAGTAATAGAAACAGATTTTTACTTTTATTTATCAGTATGTATTACATGATCTTCCTGATCTATTATATAATTTCTATT